CTTGCAAGCTTTTAAGAGGGGTTTGAATCTTGTAGGGAGGAGGCAGAGAGTGTGTACACACACAAAAAAATGGAAATAAATATATACCATCAGTTAACCAGAGCCTACAAGACAGTATTCTTTTCTTTCTGGTCTGTAAAGATTCTTGCATCCCCAGGAGGGTATCAAAATATTACTATCTGGCCCTAGAAAAATGTCAGAATTAGTGCTGAGAGATAAATAGAGTATACTCATTAGGAATACAAGCTCTGGAGCTAAACTATCTGAAATAAAATTCTGCCTCTGCCTCTTCCTACCTATACAGGCTTAGACAAGTTTCCTAACCACTGTCTCAGTTTGCCCATCTGTAAAATTAGAATAATAAAAGCATCTGTTACATTTAGGTGATACGAGGCTTAAGTAGGATAAGACCTATAAAGTATTTAGAATAGTGTGCTAAATATATTTATCAGCTAAAGGTAATCTTGTGTACCGCCGAGTGGATGCTGACTCACAGCAACCCTGTAGGACAGAACTGAACTCTTTATGGGAGTAGATCACCAGGTCTTTTCTCCCACAGAGTGGCTGGTATGTTCAAACCATCAGCTTTTCATTTAGCAGCCAAACACTTAACCATTGTGTCACCAGGCCTCCTTGTTATAATCCTAGGAAGGTACAAAAAATGAAAATATTAATGACACTATGTTGTAGTTCTACCACCACCATCACTTTGTTGTACTGTGGTGGCTTGCATGTTACTATGATGTTGAAATGTGGAATGTGCAAAGTACGAATCTTGGATAATTGGAACTTGTCAAAAATGAAATGGGACACATAAAGATCGATATTCTAGGGATTTGTTGTGGTGGTGGTGGTGTGCCATCAACTCATCTCCGACTCATAGCAATCCCTCCTTGGGTTTCCGAGGTGGTATCTCTACAGAAATAGATTGCCCAGCCTTCCTTCTGAGGAGTGGCTGGTGAGTAGTGAGCCGAAATGGAATAGTATTGGCCATTTTGAATCAGATGATCATATGGTCTACTGTGCTGGGAATCACAAATTAAAAGGAATGGCATTGCATTCATCATCAAAAGGAGTGTTTCAAGATCTATCCTGAAGTACAGTGCTGTCAGTGATAGGATAATATCCATGTGCCTACAAGGAATACCAGTTAACATTACTATTCAAATTTATACACCAACCACCAAAGCCAAAGATGAAGAAACTGAACATTTTTACCAATTTCTATAGTCTGAAATTGACCAAACATGTGATCAAGATGCATTGATAATTACTGGTAATTGGAATGTGAAAGTTGGAAACAAAGAAGAATAGTATTTGGAAAATACGGCCTTTGTGATAGAAGTGACACTGGAGATCTCATGGTAGTATTTTGCAAGACCAATGACTTACTCATTGTAAATACCTTTTTCAACAACAAAAGTGGTAACTTTATACGTGAACCTTGCCACATGGAATACACAGGAATCAAATCGACTAGAAATCAAATGGAAAGAAGCGATGGAGGAGCTCAACATCATCAGTCAGAACAAGGCCAGGGGTTGACTGTGGAATAGATGATCAACTGCTCATATGCAAGTTTAAGTTGAAGCTGAAGAAAATTAAAACAAGTCCACGAGAGCCAAAAAGCAACTTTAAGTATATTACCTTTGAATTTAGAGACCATCTGAAGAATAGGTAAGACACATTGAACACTAATAACTGAAAACAAGTTGTGAGATGACATCAAGGACATCATACATGAAGAAATCAAAAGGAAGAGGTAAAAGCCATTTCAAAAATAGGAAAGGAAGAGAAGGCCAAAATGGATGTCAGAAGAGACTCTGAAACTTGCTTTTAAACTGAGAATAACTAAAGCAAACGGAGGAAATGATAAAAGAGATGAACAGAAGATTTCAAAGGGTGGATTGAGATGACAGAGTAAAGTATTATAATGTGCAAATCAAAAGGGAAAAACACGCTGGTCATTTCTCAAGCTGAAAGAACTGAAAAAAAAAATTTAGGCCTCACATTGCAATATTCAAGAATTCTATGGGCAAATTCTATTTAGACTGTTAGTCTTTGATCTTCACCAGTAAATGCTTCAAGTCATCTTCACTTAGCAAGCCAGGTTATGTCACTTGTATATTGCAAGTTGTTAATGAGTCTTTCTCCAGTCTTGATGCTGTGTTCAAAAATCCTCACAACTGGACCAAAAAGCGACATCAAAATAAAGCAGCAGTCAAGAAATCAGATGACATATTGCACTGGGCAGATCTGCAAAGGACATTTTTAAAGTGTTAAAGAGCAAAGATGTAACTTTGAAGATTGTTGTTGTTAGGTGCCATCGAGTCATTTCTGACTCATAGCGACCCCATGCACAGCAGAACGAAATGCTGCCCGATTCCATGCCACCTCCATGATCCTTGCTATACTTGAGCCCATTGTTGCAGCCATCATGTCAGTCCATCTCATTGAAGGCCTTCCCCTCTTGTGTCCACCCTCCACCTTACCAAGCATGACATCCTTCTCCAGGGAATGGCCCCTCCTGACAACATGACCAAAGTAGGTGAGATGAAGTCTGGCCATTCTCGCTTCAAAGGAGCATCTAGGCTGCACTTCCTCCAGGACAGATCTGTTCGTTCTTTTAGCAGTCATTAACAGCCTGAGATATGCTGATGATACAGCTTTGCTTGCTGAAAGTGAGGATGACTTGAGGCACTTACTGATGAAGACTGAAGAATACAGTCTGCAGTATGGATTACATCTCAATATAAGGAAAACAAAAATCTTCACAACTGGACCAATAAGCAGCATCACGATAAATGGAGAAAAGATTGAGGTTGTCAAAGAATTCACATTGCTTGGTTCTACAATTGACACTAACGGAAGCAGCAGTCAGGGCATTAGATGATGTGTAGCACTAAACAGGTCGGCTGTGAAGGAACTCTTTCAAGTGCTGAAGAGCAAGGATATCTCCTTGACGACTAAGGTGTGCCTGACACAAGCCATCATATTTTCAGTCGCCTCTTATGCATGTGTGAAAGCTGGACAATGAATAAGGAAGACTGAAGAAGAATTGATGCCTTTGAATTGTGGTAATGGAGAAGAGTACAGAAAATACCATGGACTGCCAGAAGAAGGAACAAACCTGTCCTGGAGGAAGTGCAGCTGGAATGCTCCTTAGAAGCGGGTCAGTGCTTCATCAATAGTGTGGCTAAGCTGTTTTTGTTCTACTGCCTGTTAATTCTTTTCTTTATCTTGTAGCTTCCACATTCTCATAGATTCTGCATCCTGGCACCTTTAGCTCTCCCAATCCTTGTGCCTACTTCTGTACCTTGTAGTATCCTTCCAGCTTGTCACCCATCTGTCTGGATATTTCTTAGTTCACTTTCTCAAAGAAGGATGCCAAATTTCAAGCTAGATTATACCACAGATTACTGGTCAGCCTCTGGATTGCCCACCTGTGGCTTAATCAGCGTGGCTTCAGGACTGAGAGGCAGGACTATGTGGTGGAAAAATACGGTTGCCCTGGGGCTCTTCCCTCAGCAGAAGCTGTGAACGGGGATTTTCCCTTTGAAGACTTTCTGGGTTCTTCCTTGACAAGTCTATTCCATAGAATCATTTACAAAATTGTTAATACTCTGTCCAGTAATCACTGAGAGCATATTGAATGTGAATTTATAAATACCAGTATGAACTTTTTAATATAATTTTTTAAAAATGTTTATTATGATTTGGGTAAAAGTTTACAGAGCAAAATCATTTTCCATACAGCAGCTCACATACACTTTGTCTCATGACATTGACTACAATTTATCACAGTGCAACAGCTCCTCTCCCACATCCTCCCCATAGTTACCTCTTCCCTGTGTCCTTCCCTCCCGTGCACTCCTGCCCCCCGAGCTGGTTCCCTCTGCGTACACAGCCCTTCTATTCTCCCATGACTGATCTCTCCAAGGAGTGTATCTACCTAATGTAAATGTTCAGCTCATATGCATGTCTTTTGTCTGGCTGGCATCCACAGGAGTGGGTTCATTTCAAGAACTGAAGGGCAGCTAGGGGCCATAGTCTCAGGGGTTCCACCAGGCTCTATCAGTCCAGCAAACCTGGTCCTTTTTTTTTTTTTTTTTAATGATTTTGAGTTTTGTTCCACATTGTTCTCCCACTCTATCCAGGATCTTGTAGATAGATCCCCCTCCTAATGGATGACAGTGGTAGCCGGGCACCATCTAGTTCTGGTCTCATAGTTTTATGGGCTGAGGATCACATGGTGTACCAGTCGCTTGGACTAACTGTTTCCATGCATCTTTAGTTTTCTTCCTTCTTCTTTGCTCTGGATGAGGAGAAACCCATCATTACATCTAGATGGCCGCTTGCAAGCTTTTAAGATCCCAGTTGCTGCTCGCCAAAGTAGGATGTGGAACAATGTTTTTGTGTAGTATGTTATGCCAGTTGAGCTTGATGTCCCCTGTGACCATGGTCCCGAGCCCACAGCTCCAACTATGTGCTCGCTCTGGGTAGCTGGCTGTGGTAAAGAAGTGACCACAACCTTGTCCCTCGTCAACTTTACTATATACCTAGAAATTCTTATAGAACATACAAATACGCTTGTAGAAATATTGTCTGCCAACCTTATACATGGTCATGGGCACACTCCCCCCTGCATAGACATACCTAGTTGTTTAGCCTGAGTATGAACTTTAATATGTTCTTGACTTCTAGGGACAGAATTCTGCCTCTATGGTCATGATAAAACAAGTACCATGTGTATCCTAAATAGCAATATCCATGGCCTTCTCTAATTCTGGGATGGGGTGGAGTTTCTTCTGGGCTTGCTTTACTTTGCCTTCTCTTTCTATAGGGTATTGAGTGTGAGGATGGGTACATAACTCACTGGTACATGGAGATTTCTTGTTTCAAGGGTCAGAAAACTATAAAACAGGACTGGTCTCTCACACCTTCTTTCTTACCCCACACCTCTGCCTCATTAGGACCCTGCCCTTTTCTAAAAGGAGAGCATGGCTGCTGTGTCTCCGACTGCCAGATGCCAGGTGAGGTGGACTTTTGTTTTTCTGAAATACTCTATTCATCCCCAGAATGTGAGTACTTTTCTTTCCCCATCCTGGAGCTTTTTTGACCCAGAGAAATGAAGGACTCCATGGGAAGTACTCCCTTCCCTTTTGAACTGTGGTATCCCTTTAGTGGCTTTTTCTTACCTTGAACATGTGCCCATTAGCTTCTCACTGGGCACACAGCTCCTGAGGCCGTGGCTTTGAGTGGTTTTGTGTAAAAATAAATGGCACAGGTCTGCTTGGAAGGTTTGGGGATCAATGGGCTGGTGGAAGTCCTGACTGTCCCTACAGTAGGTCCATATATGGACTGAGAGTAGACCCCAATGTAGAGACTATCAGGTTAGGCTGAGGATGTGATGCATATTGCACAGCACTTCAGAGAAGTTAGAAAGTTCCTCAAGGTCTTATGTGGATGGAGACATGTGGCTTGACCCATTCCTGCCAAGGACAGAAATTCTTGAATTCCACACTCTGGCTTAGAACTTCTGGCTTACGCTTATTTGTCGTTTTAGGACTAAAGGTAAAGATGTAATCTTCAGAATCACAGAACTTTAAAGCTGAAAGGGATCCTAAGGATGATCTAATCCAACATCATTATTTAAGAATTTGTTTTAAAAAAAACACTAAGTAAAACAAGGACAATGGTGACATTGAATAAGGTTGTAGATTATATAATAGTGTGACAACAACTTTATTTCTTGATTGTTATAATACTGTGGTTATATAAGAGAATGCTTTTATTATAAAACATATGCTGAAATATTCATGAGTAAAGGGACATCATGTTTGCAACTTACTCTCAAAGATTCAGGGGAAAATATTAGGAAAATGTATATATAGAGAAAGACAGAAGGTAAAGCAAATATGGAAAAAATTAACATTTGAGGAAGCTGGGTGAAGGATACATGGGAATTCTTTGTTCTATTCTTGTAAGTTTTCTGGAAGTCTGAAAAAAAGGGCCCCCTGATATCCAGAGGCTCAGCTGTAAGTATTGTGGTGTGGAATTATGAGCAAGAACTTCATGCTTCAGGTGATTACACCACTTTCTTCAAATGTTTCAAAAACCCTACACTGTCAGACCATTTCCTCTCTATCCCCTCCACATCCTCCTGGGCTGTCATTTTTGTTCATCTGTCTGGTCCATGTAAAGGGAAGGGTTATGAGTAAGGGAGAATGCGATTGTGCTTTCAGGAGCCAGTGACATTTGAGGATGTGGCCGTGATCTTCACAGAGGAGGAGTGGAGCCATTTGGTACCCATTCAGAGGGACCTATACAAGGAGGTGATGCTGGAGAACTATGAGAGTGTTGCCTCACTGGGTAAGAATAGCTTCCCATAAGGAGTTAGAATCTGTGTAATGTTAATCTGGGGTTAAGGCCTAATCAGTTAATGCCTCTTCTCCCCTTCCCTGAGTTCTGAGTCTACTGACAGATAAGATAAAAGCATAGAAGGATGTGCTTAGGTATACAGCAATAATGGGCATTGGGCACACTTGCTTACCCAGCCATAAGCAGTGCTGAACACTGACAGGCTCCCTTGCTTAGCAGCCTGTCCCTGAAAAATGTAGGGCCCATAGGAACTGAGCAGAATGTGTGCTTGATGGAGGAAACTGGCTGGGGCTCAAGAGAGGGGGGACTCACCAGTCAGGTAACTTACTCAGCTCTATCCAGAAGAGTGAGGGGTGGCGTCAGGGCCCATCTTGTTGAGGGAAAATTTCTCCTCACAGAAGCCAGAGGAGGAGGAAAGAAGTGTTTTCTCTTAAAAGAGGAAGATGAGGGAAGGAAATAGAGAGTTGTACATCTGAGGAGATCACCAGAGATGTATTTGATGTTTATATTTGTCTTAAGTACAGTCTAAGAGAGATGTCCACACAAGGCACTTTGCACATACACAGACTGCAAGACAAAGGGAAAATTAAATGCTACTGCTGATATCAGGTGTTGTTGTGTTGTTATGTGTCGTCAAGTCGGACCTGACTCATAGCAACCCCTCCTTGGGTTTCTGAGGCACTATCACTACGGAAGTAGAATGCCCTCTCTTCCTTCTGAGGAGTGGCTGGTGGGTCTGAACCGCCAGCCTTCTGATTAGGAGTCAAGTGCCTTAGGCACTGTGCTACCAGAGCTCCTGCTGATATCAGGTAGTAAAAAAAAAAAAAACTCACTGCCATCTAGTCAGATCCGACTCATAGTGATTCCACCTTGGGTTTTCAAGGCAGTATCACTGCGGAAGTAGATCAACGTTATGAGTGAGATGTAAAGTTGGGCTGTTTGCTGTAGGTGACAAGGACGTCTCAGGAGCTTCAAGAGGAAGAGGCTGAGTGAGTGCACAGATTTGGAAGCAGCTTAAAATAAGCAGCAGACAGCAATAAAGAGAGTCACCTACAAATTTCCTGCAAAGCAGGTCAAAAAAGCAAATGTTAACACCCCTGAATTAGCATAAGCAGTCAAACATGAAAAACAGAATATTCAGGAGGCATTGAAGGAGACGACTGAGGCTTTGCCATAAACTTTGGAATGATAAAATACTGGGGAAAATAGAATTCCTAAAGTCAGAGACAAAGCCACAGGGAGGTCATAGATGTGACTGTCAGCAAAGAATTGACGTATGACCAGAGAAATGATCCTTGGGCCCAGTAAAAAAGTGCCTTTCTGATTAGATAGGAACCTTAGTGGGGGGAGGGGCGGGCAGTAAGTTTATGTAAATGAGGGAGGAACACCTCAAAATGAGGGTGAGAATGGTTATACAATGTAAAGGACGTCATCGTTGTCACTAAATGGTACATGTGGAAACTGTTGAATTGGTATATGTTTTGCTGTGTATATTCTATGTTGTTGTTATGTGCCGTTGAGTCGGACCCGACTCATAGCGGCCCCTCCTTGGTTTTTCTAGGCAGTATCACTACAGAAGTAGATTGCCCATCTTCCTTCCAAGGAGTGGCTGGTGGGTTTGAACCACCAACCTTCTGGTTAACAGTCAAGTGCCTTAGGCACTATGCCACCAGAGCTCCCTAAATAAAATTTAGGGGAAAAAAAAGTGTCTTTCTTTTCCAAGTAGGGACACCAATATAAGGGAAACTTAGACTACAAGTTTATTTCCAGGAGGGGGTCTGTTTTTCATGTAAGTTAAAAAAAAAAACAAAAACAAAAACAGATAGGTTCACATCTAGGCATTTATCCTAGGGAAATAATAAGATTAGCAGCCAATGGTATGTACAGATTTTTATCATACCATCGTTTGATAATAGTAAAATATTAAGAACAATCTAAATGTCTATCAGCAGGGGATTAGTTAAATAAATTATATTATTCATACATTATAATATCTTGTAGCCATTAAAATGGTGAAGTATATCCATGCTAATTGGAATAGTGTTTTTCACTTCTTATTATGTGAAAAATCTAGTTTACACATCAGTATACTCCCATAGAGTACTGGTGTGTTTGAACTGCCACCCTTCTGGTTAACAGTCAGATACCTTAGGCACTGCAACACCAGGAGCTCCTGTAGTGGTTGTTTATATCACCAGCTTTCATTTCATTTAATCATCCAGTTTTTATAGGTATCTTTAGGTACCAACATGAATAAGTATAAAAGAAAAAAACAAGATTACAAAGTTTGAAAAGTGATTTGTCTTTTTGTTTGTATATATCTCTACATGTTTAAATAAAAACAACACTAAAAGGTAAACAAACAGAAACGGGCATTTTCTTTATACTTCTTTTTTGCTCAAGATGATCTTTTTTCATTCTGCCCTTCCCCGAGCTAAGAATAAGAACTCTTTCCCCTCATCCTACCAGTGTTAAGGTGGAATTTTCCCATTAACTTAAAGGGGAAGAATAAGCACATTCATTCAAATGGATGTAACTAACTTTCTGACCCGGTGCTATTTGTTCCTGGGGCCGAAGTTAAGAACCTCAGTCTTGACCTCCATTCAGAGGCTCCTGAAGTTTATACTCTGGATTGCTGACATGCACTTTCTGTCTTTTGCAATTTCTCTCTGAAGACTAAGAGGTTGAGATGGAGCGTTGCAACAGTTAATGTACTTTTATCACATACTCCTGCCATGGCTTGTTTCTTTCTCCATTAACAGGACTTCCAGTTCCTCAGCCTGATGTGATTTTTCAGTTGAAGAGAGGGGAAGAGGCATGGATAGTGGATCTTTGTGGATCTGAGGAGAGAGAATGTCCAGAGAATGTCTCTCTAGGTAATTGAGTGTCCAGAATTATGTGTTGTTTTGTCATTGTTATTTGGGTGTGTGTGTGGGGCGGGGGAATGTTTGGTATCATCTTTTTCTCAAATTTAAATCTGCTGTCAAAAAACCAAAACCAAACTTACTACCATCGAGTCGATTCTGACTCATAGAGACCCCCGCTGGGTTTCCAAGGCAGTAAATCTTTACAGAAGTAGCTTGCCCAGTCTTCCTTCAATGGACTGGCTGGTGGGTTTGAACTGCCACCCTTCTGGTTAACAGTCAAATGCCTTAGGCACTGCACCACCAGAGCTCCTGTAGTAGTTGTTTATATCACCAGCTTTCCTTTTTTTCTCCCTACATATTAAATAAATATCAATAAAAAAATGTTCACTGAATGTTTTATTTTCTCAGTTCTGTCATGTTGTCCAATCACACTTTGATATTTCTGTTTATCACCATCCTGTCCATTTAACATACTGCCCTAATTATCTTCACCCTGCTTCCAGTGGATATTTTACTTTCTGAGATGTCTACTGTCAGTTCTATTCCCTGACGTTTTCGTTTCCAAGTCTTAGTCTTTCCCTAGAGTATGAGATGATTCTTGAGGACAAACAATGAAGCGCCCATTCATTACTTTCAGATTTATCATATTATCTCTTTTTCCACTATAATATTTCCCTTTTTTAAGCCTGGGAAGGAAACTGCATCTGTGTTTTCTGTTTGTTCCAGACTGGGAGCCTAAGCCTGAGATTCAAGAGAAAGAAGAAATTTCAGGAGAAGAAATTTCTGAAGGAACATTTACAGAAATGTATGGAAATAAAAGCCCTCAAAGTCCTGAATTTAAAGTTCTTGTACTAGAAGATGACTTTGAAACAGAGAAGGAAGACCCTGCAGTGGAGACTTACAACAATTTCCTTTTCCAGGAGAATAGCTTACAGCAAGGATCAATCCCTCCCAAGAAAATTCTCACTAAAGAGAGAGACCAAGGGTGCAGTGACTGTGGGAAGACATTTTTTGACCATTCATCCCTTATCCGCCATCAAAGGACTCATACTGGAGAGAAGCCCTTTAAATGTCATGAGTGCACGAAAGTCTTCAGTCACAGGAGCAGCCTGAGTAGACATCGTATGTCTCACACTGGGGAGAGCCCCTATGAATGCAACGTGTGTGGGAAATCATTTTTTGACCGTTCGTCTCTAACTGTACATCAGCGAATCCATACTGGAGAGAAGCCCTTTAAATGCAATGAGTGTGGAAAAGCCTTCTTTGACCGTTCATCTCTTACTCGACACCTGAGAATTCATACTGGAGAAAGTCCTTATGAATGTAATCAATGTGGGAAAGCCTTTAGCCAGAAGAGTATCCTTACTCGACATAAGTTAATCCATACTGGTAGGAAGCCTTATGAATGTAGTGAGTGTGGGAAAGCCTTCTATGGTGTCTCATCACTGAATAGACATCAGAGAGCTCATACTGAAGAACCTCGCTTTCATTGTAGCGAGTGTGGGAAAGCCTTCTTTGACCGCTCACCTCTTACTCAACATCTGAAAATTCATACTGGAGACAAGCCATACGAATGCAGTGAATGTGGGAAAGCCTTTAGTCAGAGATGCCGGCTTACTCGACATTACAGAGTTCATACAGGAGAGAAGCCCTATGAATGCGGTGTATGTGGAAAAGTTTTCAGTTCTAAATCATCAGTTATTCAACATCAGCGACGTTATGCCAGACAGGGAATAGACTGAATTGGGTAACAGCTTTATTCAGAAAAAAAGGACTACCATGAAAATTTAAGATAGGTCTTCCCTATCTTTAGTTCATCAGATGATCTAAGCATATAATAGTAGACCCATTCTGGCTACTGTTTTTCCCTCCTGCCTCTGCCAACCCAGTGTTTGAGTTATCACTCTATAGCTACTCTGTTAATAGAACTGATGTGGGATGCCTGAAATTAGGATGTAACTCTAAAGATCCAAAAATTTGGAGAACTTTGTCAGACAAGAGGATAAATGTTTACTCAGACGTACTTCTTGCCTGAACATGAGAACTTAGCCCCCAGGTATTGCTGCACTTTAAATAACTGGAGGCCATAACAGGAGAGAAAAGGCAAAAATGGTATCAGAGCAGCACTGTTGCTTCCAGTACAGTTCTTTCTATAGCTGTTAGTCTCTCTCTCTCTCGGAGCTTTTTAGGGCAGTGACTTTGTTCTTTTGTGTCCCAGCTTTTAGATATCTTAATACTGCTAGTAATAATAGTTAGCACTTATTGGGCGCTTATTACAGGGTAAGCACTCAGCTCAGTTTTTCAAGGCATAGGTTCTTTGGTCTTCTCAACAACCCTATTAAGTAGGTACTGTTACTATCCTCAGGAAGTCCCTGGGTGGTGTAAATTGTTAAGTGCTCAGTTGGTAACCAAAATGTTGGCAGTTCAAACCCACCTAGAGGCTCCTTAGTAGAAAGGCCTTTAGGTGAACTGCCTTTAAAACCCTATGGAATGAAATTCTACTTTGAAATACATGGGGTCTCCAAGAGTTGGAATCAATTTGATGGCAACTGGTTTGGATTATTATTATTATTATACTCATTTTACAGATTAGACAAGTGAAGTTTAGAGAGGTTAAATAACTTGCCCAAAGTGACACAGCTAGTAAAATGTGAAACTGGGTCTGTAATACAGATCTGCCTTCAAAGTCCATTCTTTTCATCATCATGATGCAAGGTAGATTTGTTTTATGATTTGTACATGTATTATCTTCTCAATTAGGTTGTAAGCACTTGGAGGTGTGACTTATATGTCTTTGTATCTCACACAGTGCCTTACATATAATAGGTGCTCAATAAATATTTATCTGAACTAATGATTTTTCTATTTCCCAAGTTCTCTCTATCAAAACACCTCTTGGATTCACATTCTCTGAATTTTCATAGCCTGGCCTATACTTTATCATCCTAGGCTCACATTATTCTAATAATCAATTCCTAATTCAAATTCTTCCCCCATAATTAATGAAGAGGAATATGCTAAGCTATGGGCAACAATGAATATACAAAATATATTTCTTACATAAAGTGTGCATGGGTCAGTCTGACTTACTTCATCCTTATTATTTAGAACATGGCCCCTAAGGTCATCATGGAGGAAGAAGAAAAAGCTGGAGGATTATTAAGCGCTAGGCTTTCATCACTTCTAGCCACATCTCATAGGCCAGAACACAGTGTTTGGATACCAGGAAAATAAAACAAGCACCTAAATATATGGGGAACCCCAGTAACCTCTGCTATGGTTACATTTTGCATATTACTATTTTTCAGCCTTTCCAAATGACCCCTTCCTGTCCATCATTACCTTAGGACCTAAAATAGCTCTCTAGTAAATGAAAACTCTATAAATACCAAAAGTCTGCCTTAGCACTGTCCTACATTGCTGAATTTCACCGTCTGAGGCCAGAACTCATTCCCTGAGTCTGGCCCCATATATTTTATTAAAGGTCAGGCACTGGATGACCTTGACTCAAGGTGTCCATATCCCTTTACTACTTTAAGATGAAGTCCTAAAGAGGACTTGATTTTGAAGGGCTGTCTGGAACCTACCTTGCTCTGCATGAATCCCAGTGGACCAAGATTGTATTTCTCCTGGGATTGAAAGTTGGATTCAAGAAGCTGGATTGGCCAACAGGCACCTCTTCCCACTCTATTAAAAACTATGAATCTCTGTCCACCTCTCAAGAGCAGATGAGTCGCAGTGAAGAGTACTTTCCATGTGTGATTTTTAAAAAGAAATTTAATGAAAAACACTAGCAGAGTGCAGAATTTTTCAGTGTGGCTAATACGATATTTTTAAATATTGGATAGAATAGAAAGGATTATGGACAAACTTGGCTGCTGACTTTCTCTTAAGAGGTCGGAATCTTTATTGTCTTGTTAAAAATTGAGAGGCAAGTATTTCCCTACAACATTCTGCCACTGTCAGCAAGTTAAGACTAGAAGAAATTCAGAATTCTAATGGACTGGAGTAATATCTGTGTTGAAACCCAATGGGTACATAAATTTGATAGTTCTTCCTTTGTTCCCTTTTGAAATTCGGTGATCAGCAGAGCACTTTTCAAAATGGAATATTGTTTAGCCTTCTGCTAAAAATTGTCAAGAATGGACCATTTTACTTTTAATTGATACCCTCCAATATAGCGTGCATTAATGGAGGCCTTAAAACTTGAGGTTTTAACATCAATTACAAGCTCTGGTGGCAACAGTGCCTAAAGCATTTGGCTGCTAACCAGAAGGTCAGCAGCTGAAACCCACTGAATGGGTCTGAATACCCATCTAGTACCTCAGAAGACAGACCTGGCAGTCTGCTTCTGGAAACCCTATGGAGCACAGTTCTAATCTGACACACATGAATCACAACTGACTTGACAGCAACTAACAAAAACAACAAATTTAAAGACAGAATTCCTACTGCAAAAATTAACAGAGGCAATCTACAAATCAACTCTTCAAATAAGAGAATTGGCAATGCTAGAGAACTAAGAGATGGGGAAAATATGGTCAGTAGAGAAACGCTGGACACTGAAGCCTGGGAAAGAGAATTGGTGGGACTATCTCAGAAATTTCTCTTGAGTGTTAAAAGGATGCCAAGATGGTGGCCAGCAGGTTGGTCAGCCCTGCTCTGAGCTCATCTCTTCCCTTCACTCTCCCAGGCCTGGGCTTCAAAGACTATATTAAACCCCTTTGCAAGTCTTACATAATTGTAACACATAGGTGAAGAAGAAGCTGCAGTGCAATGCAGTGAATTGCTTAGTAGGGCCCTTCTAGCCATCATCCTCCATTTTGTGATGTATTATAAATCCTAGTCTCTATGCTTGTTTAGGGTAGGATATATCTTGAGTCCCACTTGCTGGAAGGTGTGACTCCAGTCATCACCCTTAGTTTCCTTGAGGGATATATGTGAATGTTATGCGAAAATTTACTCTCTTGCTCCAGTCCTGTGTTTGGTTCGTCATCATCTCATCCCTGGACTCGAGGCAGCAGTCAGTCATCTGACCCGCTGATTTGGGTTTGCTGGTCCCTGCAACCACATAAGGAGAATGCTCCAGACCTACCCATGGACTTGAGACTTGCCAGCCTCCCAGCTTCCACCACCACGTGAACCATTTCCTCGGCAGTCTGTGAGTTCTGTGATCTGTTACAGCGAAATACAGAACCTTAAGGAGGAAGAGTACTGAGGGGAGGAAGAGTTCATGTTAGAGATGATGGTGTGGCACAGCAATTTGGAAAAGTTGGACATTTGGGACATCTTTAACCTCCATGTCACAGAGATCAGACTTTTGCTGATCTTTCTAAAAGAAATGATTTGAGCAGTTGGTGTCAGAAGTGGGATTCACTGCAGTGGCCCAGACTCACTGAATTACATGGTTTTGGGGAAAAGGGGATAAAGGAGAGAAAGAAACCTTTGGTTTCTGGGTGGGATAAACACACCCATGGATTGAAGCAGGTGTTTTGTTAAGATCAGTTATCCAAGGCAAAAGCTATTCATGGGGTTTAGGAGTGGTAGATCTAACTCCTGAGGAATTGGTTAGTTGCATGCATATGGAAATACAGAGTGATAAGGAAAGGGCAAGACTTACAATTCCTTGGTTGCTGTTATAAGGAAGCTGCAATGGCATGGAAAAATTATGTAGGGGCGGGTTGTAGCACTGAACCAAGCTCTGATCTGATCTGATCAGATCTACGACCACTAGTCTCAGGGCTTACCCAGAGAGGAAAAATTGTTGGAACAATAGACAGTACCCCTACGACTGCTGGTCACCAAGAAAGTCCAGGAAGGGAACAGGCAAAACCAAGAAACTATTGAAGCCAGGGAGTGTAGCGTGGAAGAGTTGCTTCAGTTTGTAGATTGCTATTGTCAGCATCCTGAGGAACCTTTACTAAAATGTATTGTGACAGTGACTAATTTAGGTGCAGTGTCTTTAGTTTTGAATGCTACAAAATGGAAGAATATGTTTGGGTTGATGCAAGACCCACAGCTTACTATGGCACAGGCATAAATATTGATCCAAGATCCAGTTACATGGCAGGTTAACCCAGAGCATACAGCCAGCGTGGTAGACTAGATAAAATCTGTAGTCAGATTTGTTTATCCTGAGAAGGAAAACTGCCCCTCTCCCCCTCTAAATACTCCCCGGAACACTCCAGAGGAAGCAGCTAATAGACTGCTTATGCAAGCCATGCTGGAATGGCTTTTTGGTGATCAGGATATTCACCCAATAAATATGCCCCTTACACAGGTCATGGCAGATATGGTAATCAAGGGAACCCCTTCTACGTGGGAATCCCATGTAACTTCACTACTACAAAACAAAGCAACAATCTGAGAAGTAGTGACAGGTCTGCTGGCATAGGTTCCCCACATGGGTATTACAGATGCAAGAAACATAAGAGTAATTAATAGGATGGGAAGAGGCAATGGCGAAATAACTCACCTCTGCAGGTCAGAGATTTTTTGATGGTTATTAAGGAATTGATGAATATAGTGGACATTGATGGAGTTGAGACAAAGGTGCTAATGCAACACTACAGGAGTCTGGGTGGTCCAATGGAAACTCCTGCTGGTCCCCCAATATTAAGAGGGCTTAAACAAGTCTGTCGGGGAGCTCTGGTAGCATAGTGGCTAAGGCACTTGACTGCTAACCAGAAGGCTGGCAATTCAACCCACCAGCCACTCCTTGGAAGGAAGATGGGGTAATCTA